GTGTGCTGGCCACAGCCCACGCAGCCCCTTGCAGGCTGGAACATTGCCAGGCTGCAAGGGGGAAACTGTTTTCGTGCATTTTCCTGGCACTTGCTTGCAACCCTTTAAAATATTCTTGCAACCCACTTTTGGGTGGCAACCCATGAGTTCAGAAATGCTGCTCTAAATGCAATTTTCCATTTTGTTAGAGAGCTAGGACCTGATTCTCCTTTCTCTTCCAGCAGCATAAAGCAGGAACAACTCTGTTGCCACCAGCAGAGCTACACTAGTAGTAGCAGTCAGTCCAAATCTTTCAGGGAACAGAGATTCTTGGCCTGGAAATGACTTGTCCCAAAAAGGACATCTGAATCAGAAGTCAAAGTCAAGAACTTAAACGCCAACTTCAGAGATAGCAGAATGAACAGTTAGTTCATCTCTCCAGCTACATTTACTGTATTCTGTGGTTTCTAGTTAGGAAACCAGACCTCAGACTGACCCTGATGTTAGCTATTCTGTAAACATGAATGGGCATTTGGGGACATTTATTAGACCAGGGGTGGGCAAAATACAGGCCATGGGCTGGATCTGGCCAGCTGGTCTGCAGTGGGTCCCTTGGCCCCAACTGGTCCAAGTGTGGGGGGGGCAGTCTGAGCTGTGATGCATGCAGCTGGTCCCATTACCCCTGGGTACGTAGTGGTGGCATGTCTGTTTCCTGGCAGCCCCAGCTGCTTCTTGCTCCTACTGCTGCCAGCCCCAGCCCCACTGCCTGGGCACCCCAGCCCATCTGTCCTACACCCACCACTGGGAGTGCTCAACAGAGTGGGTGGGTGGGGTCTCCGTGGAGACCAGCTTGGGACCCACACGGGCAGGGCGCATTGGCCCGGTGGATGGGATGGGGCTGTGGGTGAGTGGGGAGCAGCATCTGGAAGCAGAACAGGCGGGTGGGGCCAGGGCTGGGATTGCGAGGCCGGATCATGGGGAGGTGTCAGTGCAGGGCTGAGGCCTGGGGCAGAGCCAGGATCTGCTGCCTGCATGTCCCTGCAACAGGTGCTGGTCCCGCAGGAAAGGGCATGCCAGGAGTAGATCATGGTTCTGCCCTGGGCCCCAGCCCTGCGCTGTCACCACCCCGCAATCACGCCCCGCTACCCCAGCACCACCCAGCCATCCTGCTCCTGGACGCCACTCCTCACCTGCCCATGGCCCCATCCCACCCACCTAGCCGCATGCCCCGTCCGCAGGTCCTTGGAGACCCTGAGATCATGAGGCAGTGACAGCACAGGGCCAGAGCCACTGAGGGAGTTTTGGTGAGTTGTTGCTGGGCAAGAGGAAAGGGGTGCTGACCTGGCCTCCTGCAGCTCACCAAGACTCCCTAAGTGGTCCTTGGGCCCAAATAACTGCCCACCCCTGCATTAGACCCCAATGTCAGATCCTTCTTCATCACTGCCTCTGCAAATAAGCATTTGTTAAGGAGGATTTCTCCAGGATCCTCACAATGCTTCTGTCTGGTCTTTACATGACCTACCTGCTATAATATCCAACTGGCTCCTAATTCAATAAAACAACAGGCCAAAATCACCCTTCTGCCTGCAGAAGCAGCTTGAAAGGTAGCAGGTTTCCCCTCTTCTCTTTTTTGCTGTGTCCCCGTCAGCACCCCTGTTGGAGCAGCGTGGCTGCACGAACCCATGAAGCGTGTCTCACGAGATGTGTCCAGTTAAGCCAGGAATAGCAGTGTGGGGGGCACCTGCCTCCGGTTAAGGCACAAGTCCACGGGCACAGCACAGGAGACACAGACCGGGGGGCTTTATATACCCTACCTTAATATTTGGCCTGGACCTTTTGTCTGCCATAGCGCTGTTGCACCCTTGGAAAATCTAAAAGCCAACACCGCCGGTTGGACATGGCCAGGCTCAAAACCACGGCCTTCGCTAGGAAAGCGAATCACCTTTATGCAGACAAGGCTCTTTGGGTCGATGTGAGACCTTTCATCAGACCAACTGAAGCAGTTGGGAAAACTGCTCTTGCCAAGCCCCCGGGTGCAAACGCCCGTCTTCAGGCATGGGGGGGGGGGGTGTTTTGGTTTTTTTTTAATGGAAAACGTCGCGCGCCCCAGTCCCAAATCCGCGAGTCCGACAAACACCTCCTCGCACATCCGACCTGCAGGCCCGAGCCCCCGCGTCTCGCTGGCCCTCAGCCCTAGGGTGGCAGGAGCCCGCCCTTTCCACAGCGGGGGAGGAAAGCCAGGATGTTCCCAGCGGGAACGAAGGCGGGGCAGGGTGAGTGCACAGCCTCGGCCCCGGGCCGCGGGGCCGGACCGCCCGAGCTGGGCAAGCGGCGCTGGCCCGCGCGGGG